AATACATGAAAGGTCAGCGATGACGTCAGAGTCCAGGGACTGCCCAGTCCGTGATTTTGCGGCCCATCGTCGGTGCCTGATTCGCTGCGGCTCTTTATATTTTGCACTCAGTGCACCTTGACCATGATCCCAATATAAACACAGTGCTACACTTCTGAAATAGAAATGTGTGTTTGCCCGCTGCTCATAAGTCTTTCTACTGTTCCATTTGTTGCAGGCGGCTACAAAAGGAATAATTTTTGCTGACTTGCACAAAAAAAATTGAAAATAAACTTTCTTTATTCTGTTTGATGTAGTTTACTATGAACTGCATTGTTTCATGAGTTCTCTCAGTATTCACTTTCCATGCTCTGCTCTTCTTCCACTATCCCTGAGCCCTCTAGGCCTTGGCTCAAGACTCCTCCACTTCCTTTTTCTAGTATTATGACTGACTGCAAAGAAGTGTGTGTGCCCATCTGCTGTGCTTGGCCTGATTTTTTTGGCCATGACCCTTAACTTTGCAGCATGTAGTTTTTCAGTCTGTTTCTTGCTCTATTGGAAGGTGTCTTATACTTCGTTCAAGCTCTGTCTCAACATTTGTATCTTTGCTTCACTTTGCAGACTTGTGTTTGCTTTACATGCAGCTTGTGCCTCGGAGAGGCAGGGTTCTTTGAAATTCAGTCCATTTCCTGTTGTTATCCATGGCTTTATGCATAAAGGTTGGCACATATCTCAGCTAAAGCACTGTTGTATTCATTCATTCTCAAATTGAGCTGCATTTAGAGGATAAACAGGAAATCTCTGCCTGTTTAGCTGTTGATGTTTAGAAATATTATATTCAAAAGTAGGGCTGCTGTTAAACATTGATCCTTTGGCGAGAGAGAGATGCTGGACTGCTCAATTAAATAATAAAACCTACACTTCACAAATAAATATGTATTAATTTGTTGTTTTAAGAAGCTATTTTGATGCAGACTTGTCCTTATTTATGCTGAGGCGCACATCTACCAGCCGTGCAGTCTGGGAGGCAGCCAGCCCCTCCCGGTGAGGTACTGTAAGCCCAACTTTCCCAACTTTGGTCCTCAGTGCTTGTTTTAAAAAGACGTCTACATGTGGCCCACATCTGCATCCACAGCATAAAACTGTTTCACTTTATTTATACAGGAACAAATGTCACTGCTGGTGTTGTATGTGTGTAAATTGTTGACTATAAACCATCTGTGGGCAGTTTTTTTTCCGCTCTTAGCGTTGAAGCATTTAAAATATAGCTGCAGTTTTGCCATGGAAGAAGTAAGATTCATTTATGTTAATCAGTGTTTACACACAGAGTACAAGTGAGAGGAAAACCAAAACCGAGCATGCGGCAGCTACCATGTTAATATGTAGATGCACAGCATTGTGTTTAGCATAATGTGCAAAGAAAAAAAAAAAAACTTTGCCAGATGTTCTTAACTAGCTTTACTGGCCTGAGTATACAAGGGCAAAATAATCTTTCTGCAGCACAAGAGCTCACATTTCTTAATTTTCTGTGAAACAAAGGAACCTTTTCTTGCGGAAAGCCTCTTTTATTTGTGTTGGATTGGAAGACAGAGGGTGTATTTGATCTGTTAAAGCGCCCCGCAATTAACCTGGTACAACACATTGGCCGAGGCTCAGCTGTTGACATTGTGTAGCCGCTGCAGGTACAGCGCTCTCGAATGGCACTGTTTGGTTCTAGGATCCAATAAGCACCACTTAGGCTCATGTAACAGATACACATAGCCATTCACACGAAGTTAACCATTAGTTTGACACTGTTAAATCACACTGCCTGCAGCTCAGCGTGTCACACATTGCTCTCACTTCTGCAAGGCATGGATAGAAGTAATGACCACAAGCGTGCAGGCAACCCGTTCTGTGTTTTTAAGGTGGATAAGCACGGGCAACAAGCCAAACAGAAGCTGTTGATGTTGAACCACGCACTTTTGGCCTCTTGATTGACACATTCAAAGTATTATTTTTGATATTTTGTTATTGCAGCACAACTCTCCAGCTTTAAGCACTGCGGCAGCATTTCGAATACATGCTGTATGATTTCAAACTTCACTCAAGTAGTCGGGTTTGTTGGTCACAGGAGAGGCAGTTGCTAATGAATGGTTGTTATAAATCAAATGTCTAAGATTCGTCAGAGGTTTGTTTTAAAAGCATCTAGGCCCAAAATAACTCAATAATTATATGACTCACCTTGCCACTCAGGAAAAGTGTATTTTTTTTCTCCGCCAAAGTACCCACTCCATCTTTGCAAAAAACTAATTCACAGTGTGGCTATGTACATGTAATATTTTTGGATCATAAGAGTAAAAAAAAAAAGCCCACTCCCTGTCAAATGCTATGTTTTGTTTGTCTGCCAAAGTAAAGGCTTGACAAGAAGGAATCCAGTCATTACCACTGGCAACCATAACTTTTCACCTCGGTGCTGACGGCTTCCCTGACTGCATCACTGCTATCTGATTCCCATCCAACTATATTGGGCCAGACACTGTACATAAACAAACAGGTGAGTAAGTAAAAACATACAATTAAACCCAAATGTACAGCACATGCACAAACACACACACACACATATCACTGCCTGCCTGTCTATCCTCTCTCTTCCCCTCTCCTCGGGTATATGCGGTCTCTTTGACACAGTCTGCCAGTCTGCTGCCATGCAGCGCCACATTTAGCTCTGCAAGAAGTGCCAGACTGCAGCAGAGCAGAGCGGAGTGAGGGGGTTATTAATGGCCTTCCTTATTTTAAACGACAGTCTGAAAACACTGGTGGCACCATGCAGACCCTGCTAGCTGCAAGCTTGTCTTTCATCCCATCTGTCTTCACGGTACTCAGTCTCCTTGGTCCTAATGGGCCCATAGCTGTCGCTCTGTCAGTTTGCACCTAATGCATCCTCGGCTGTCTGGTGGGTCCAGTGGACAGTCTCGGTGGGTTGCATGTGAAAGCACACAATAATCCATCACTTTCAACTAATGTGTTGCACCTCTTCTTTAATTATTTGAAGACACAGAGGATTTTCTTTTAAATAAATAGGCTAACTGTCCAACAAAGCCTTTCATGAAAGTTACATCTTCAGAAAACTTACCCACAGTTGGGACTGCAGCGTCATCACATCATTAAGATGTTCAGACCATTGTCTCAAACCTTCAGGCTATCTCTTCCCCATTTTTCCCCTCCCTTTCACCATCCTGCTCACCCTCTTACTTTTCATTCTTCCAAGCCTCTGAATGCCACCTATCACTCCATCCCACTGTGAATTTTGACACCTGTCTGATGTATGGCTCTCTTTTCTGCATCAGTCTCTCTACTGCCCCTTTAGCTGTGGAGCTCGGCCAATCAGGCAAGCGATCAAGATTAATCAAAACATGATGTGTTTATGTGTTAACACTGCAGCAAGCATCGATATAAATATGAATAGAGCAACGGTTTGTCAGAGTAAAGATAAAAAATGCCATTATGTAAAACTCAATACACAGTGGCTTATGCACAATCCATGTGTACACATCTATACACGGTATATACTGGCTGCTTAGATTTAAATGTGAGCAGATGTAGTATATGTTTCAGTGCTATTTTACTCTATTTGTTCTCTAGTTCTGGAGCAATTATATGGTCTAAATGAAGTTACAAACATGAATCAGCTTCCTCTAAATGTTTTCACTGTTAGTTTTTGTGAGGGTCTGCCTGTATTTTTCTATTTGTACACTGACATTTTCTAATTTACACAGATATGTAATTATGAATCCTACGATTAGACCTGCGGGCACAGAGACAATTAATTGAACATAAATCCATGTATACTGTGTCACATTGGTGGCTGTACATTAAGGCCATAAAATTTAGTATCACTTGTCTGGGGAGTAACAAAGACTGACGGCTTAATTCAAGACCTATTGCGGCCCTCCAGACATCATAACACTGCCAGACACGGATATGGTGAAATCTATTATTGACTGGTCATTTTGTTCGACTGTTGCTGAATGAATGAGGAGCGATAGCTTCTCTCCCTGGTGGCAGACACTGAGGAGGTATTCCAAAACAAGTCTGAACAATTTCTAATTTTTCAAAAATATATTTTCATTTACAATTTTAGGGCAGTGGATCAAATATTTATTCCATATTATTTGGGTAATTTGGGTTGGGTGAACCTACTATGTGCAGTCACCAGGTATATACACCTGCTCATTAATGTAATGAATTAGCTCTATTCATTTATGCATGTAGACACGGTTAGGACGACCCAGTGAAGTTCAAATCAAGCATCAGAATGAAGAAAAGGGATTTCAGTGACTTTTAATGTGTCATGGTTGTTGGTGCATGATGGACTCAGGTGTTGTTTTGATTTTTTCAGAAACTGCTAAGAACAAGAAACTGAGGATACACTTTAAACAGGCTGTGATATTTGGATGGTGGGCTCTGAATTTGGTGTAAACACCATGAAAACATCCAGTTCAGACTGGTGGTGGTGTGATGGTGTGGGGTATTTTTCTCAACCAAATGAGAATCACTTAAATATAAGAGTCTGAGTATTTTAGCTGACCGTTTCCAGCCCTTTGTGACCACAGTGTACCCATTTTCTCCTTCCAGCAGGATAACACATCATGGCACATCATCTCAAACTGGATTCTTGAACATGACAATGATTTCACGGTATTCAAATGGCATCCATCATAACCAGATCTCAATCCACTAGAGCACCTTTGGGATGTTGGGAAACAGGAGATTTGCATCATGGATGCACAGATAAAACATTAGCAGCTGCTGCGTCATGCTATCGTGTCAATATGGACCAAAAACTCTGAGGATTGTTTCCAACACCTTGTTGAGTGGAGTTAGTTTTGAAGGCAAATGGGGTCCAACTCAGTACAATCAAGGTGCAACTAATGAAATAGCAAGTGAGAGTATATAAATGTATAATGCAAACAGCTTTTTAAATCAAGTTAACTTTAACAGACTTAAAATGGAAGAAGAAAGTGGCTAATAGCAATGTGTGGTCATTCTGTTGTTTTATTGCAAAATTAACTTTTCCTAACAATCCCAAGTTAGGAAAATCTATATGCAAGGAAAACAGAGATGAGAATAGAGTTGCTTGCCCTTTGTAATGACTACAGCTTAAAAGAAAGCATATTTTATACTGCACGACATACTGTATGAGATTTTTAAGATGTATTTTTGTTTCTCTGTATCAGTGTCAAAAACGATTACTAATTGGGCATCATTTTTCTTTGGAGCAACGACATCCAGTAAAATAAAATTCAAAATGAAAGGTGAATGGTGAACCCCGGAGAGATGACCATACTTCCCGACCTGCAGGCAGTTTGAACTAAACCACATTTTCTGGAAAATTACAAAGAAATTTATCGAACAGGTGATCACAGCAACAATACTTAAAACATATAGCAGCATCCTTTACAAGTTATAATGATATAGTGTCTAACCATACAAAAATAAATGAATAACAAATTTCCCCAATCCAAAAGTACAAAATGTAGCAAAAGCACCAATAAATGTGCCAGACTTCATATAAAAGTGATATTATCTCTGAAGTGCCATTATAAGGTCATATAATACATTTCTATAATTAATATTCATACACAGATATTTGCTACAAAGGCAATACAAGTGTAATACTATATTAACAAATTTGTACAACAAAGTAATCAGCAATATTTACAGTTTTTAACATTTCCTGCTAAAGCTGACAAAAACTCATGGTTCTCATTGCGTGCATGTCAAGTTTCTTTTTTTGTTGCTGGGCGTTCCGTTGCCATAGTGACAACCTCTAACCCGTGTAGTGTAGCAAAGCCAGAAACATTTCAGTCATTGAGTTTGACAACATGGCTTGATTACCACCTTTTCAACAGCACAAGTGCGATTTTCTGTTTGGTGAAGCTGCCCTCTGGGGCTCTCAAATCACAGCGAACACCCGGAACGCCTTCCCTCCGGGAGGGTTTTGAAGGCTGCAGGGAAGGAGAATAACAAGAGGGAGAGTAAGTCTGGGTGCTGCATGTGTCAGATACAGAACATGTGCCAGCCTACATGACAGACACACACAAACAGATCGACTGGTTTTGTGGAGAAATGTCCGTGGCGGTGTGCTGTCTGACGCTCTGATGACAGACGGGACACAAACAGATGGAGGCTGAAGTTCAGTGAAAAAAAAACAAAAAACAGGTAAACCACCCATTAATACACAAACACAAGGAACTTCATGTGGTCACCCAGCAAAGACAGACATGTTGTAAAGGTAAGGGAGACAGATAAGTGATGGGCAGACGTCAGGTATCTTAGCAGAGTGACAAAGATAAATTAAGTGGCGACAGGCATGGTAAGAGCAAGGAGATGAAAAGGAGGAGGAAAGGGCTTTGAATGAATGAGGCTGCGAATGCAAGTCTCCCCTCTACATAGGTCATGGGAAGTGTAGTGATTCTGCAGACCTCAGTAGGTGCAATTTAATTTCTCTTAAAAACTGGAACAGACTACACTGTATCTAGGTCACTTTGAAGAGTGGCTGGTATGAACCTGTGGCCTTAATATTGTTGCAAGGTGGTGCAGCATAAATTCAACACAAGCTTTCACCTTATTAGCATAGCAATACCTTGGCTTACAGGAGAATTTAATAACAGCAATCTCTAATTTTATATCACAGGGACTTTGAGTCTTTAGACTCAAAGATCACATCTGCTGATTCTTCTACATTCAGAAGACAGCGTTACACAGCACAGATTTGAATTTGTTCGAGTACTTTATAGGCCGCTTTAAGCTTCTTAACATTCCAACAGCCACCGTAAAAACCAGTGATATCTCTTGTTTCCTACTCTGTGTTAGCACATGGCACCAAACAAGGTAATCTACTCTCAACCCTCTTCGTCGGATTAGACAAATGAAAAATGTCGGGGCAGTATAAGCAGATGTACACCCCTATGTCGACGATGAAGTGCTCTATTTGCAAACTAGCTGAGGCGTTTCATCTTATGTATATTGCCGTCCTTGGCCGTGGCATTGTTAAAACTGGAGAAGCTGTTACATATACATGACCAGCTGTTACATCCAAGCACTCGCCAAGGGGGTTCACACAGTGCTGATTAAACCAATCAGAGCCATGTAAATGGATGTGTATTTTCCAGTATACCAGAGTTTTGAATCTGGCATCTGTGG